TTTTTCAGTCTCTCATAAATTGGTTTGTCTTAATAAAAAACAACAGATAGGAACATAAGAGAATCTACTATTCATTGTAAGGTGTTAATACAACATTGCATATTAAAAGCACTTGTATAAGTGTTAAACATAATATTAAGTACTTACTGTTTCTATTCCATCTTCCAGTTATTACAAAAATGCAATTTTTTTTTTTAAATCACAGCATAAAAACGCTATAGAAAATACTAAGAATCCTCACCCTTTAGAAGGGCTACTGAAAGTTGGTCTGTGTTCAAGTTATTGACATATTTGCCCAAATAAGTGTTGAGGACCCAGGCGACCAATCCTTCCAACATGACTGTGTCCTAGAAGGGGGCAACTAAGGATTTTCTGTCATTTTCTGGATCTCTGTTCCATAGTTATAGTTTTACTCTGGAAGAAAAAGTAAGAAGAACATGAATGTCTGAAACATACGCTCTCTCAGCAGCCATGTGATACCGCTACGCAAAATATTCACTGCAATCCATCCACAAAGCAGTAGAAATATTTAGCTTGATATCCACCTACAAAAAATGCTTTACAAAGTAAGACTTGTTATGCACATTCCCCTTCAGTTCCAACTCACACCAAGTTTCATACAGAGCTTTGCTGTTTATAGACCACTCCTGGCAAATAAAGTTCATCTTCACATCCTTGTTCTTATCAAAGCATAGTGTTTTGATGCAATAATGAGCATGGCACTACAATACGGGAAAGACTAAAATTCCAAATTGATCTGAAGCAGTTTTGCACTGGCTTCCTTAAACTCTTTGTAAAAGCTGCTTCTGGTATTTTCTCAAGTTGCCAGCATTCTGGTTTTGAAAAGTCTACCTTAAAGTAACAGGTGTCCATCTGGATGCTCCTTTCTCAACTTGATTTTATATCACACTTGTTAGTTTTCAAAATAGGCAAAGAAAAAGAAACTCCTTCTGTTAGCGCTGATCATACCAATGCTATTTCTTCTCCCTCTGTTCTACGTAGTATTCCTTCACAACATTTTCTGAAGGCAGCACTTTAGGTTTTTTATACTAGCAGACGCGTTACTGGGAAAAGACTGGACATGGAAAAAAGGAAAAAAAAACCCAAGTGCACAGGGGCTCTGCAGACCCCAGAAACGCCACAGGTCCACTTTTTTGTGAGGGGCCCAAGTATCTGCAATTTTCACTCTAGGAAGAGATAACAAGTTTTCTTAATGAAAAACGTACTGAAAATTCCTCGAGTAAAACCATATGCACAGTCCCACCAAATGTATGATAAATGCTCTGGAGGAGGACTTTCTAACTTCACAGAAGGAAATTTATAACTAGAGCTGAGTGCAGTTGTATTCCATGCACGAGTCTAAGTGAGGGCATACGCTTTTTCTCCACACTTGTATGAATTACAGGTTTTGTTTATACTGAATGAAAATCTTTATTGATTCTAGTAAAAGGCATCTAGAATATTTATGAAACACTAATATTGTTTTCACTTCTTTTCAAGAGTGGTGAACAACCAGGTTCCTAAAATAGACAGCACTTGATGGTTATGCCACATATAGCAGGAAAGAAAACGGTCACCATTAATCTGCAACAATGTGATTTCAAAAAAAGTTACATACCAGCTCTACAATTACCCATGAAGGATCTTTAAAAGCCATGAATGCTAGCACTTCTAACTGAGCAGCAAGAAGTCAATTTGGCAGCCCAGAGCCTTCAACTGCATTTCAGTAGTATTCTTGCATGACATCTGTGAAACAGGCATTTATCCTCCCCAACCCCCTTTTTAGGGGAAGACTATGTGTGGGAAGTAATCAGATACAAGTCACACAAATAGCTCACCAACAGTTACTCTAACTGTAAGCTTTCAAAGTGATAGCACAGATTACTCTATCAAGAAAAGCTCCACTAGAAAAGCAACACCATTCATATTTGCGAACATTTCCCCTCATACTCTTCCCCAACCATTTCTTTTCCAACTCATGTGTTTACTGAAACATTAAAAATCCCTAACTCCCTTTTAAAAACTTTTAAACCAATGAATTGCAGAACTGCTATTAGCTTCAGCAACAGCAGGATCAAGCACATTATTATAGTAAGAAAAAGTATGCCTGCCCTATCTTGTCGTTAGAATACTATACATGTACTTGCATCAGTGCTGCGTTTAGGAATGTCTCCCTGACACAGATCTCTCTCTAAAACAGTGTACATAAGGTTGAGTTCTACACAGCAGAAAAGCAAGAAATGTCAGACATATTTACACTAAAGTAAGTTTGACAATAGGAAGAAAACGACAAATTCAAGAGTTGCATTTTATATTTTATATTCAAAGGCAGGGCTTTCCCATGAGTCACTAGTGAGGTGTGCTTGATTACAGGCTCAAATGCAGATGCCTAGAATTCTTTGAAAAACATCCACTGAGAATTTTTATCTAATACAGTTAAAGAAAACAACCAGAGTTAAGCAGATAATGAAAGACTTTTTCTAAAGGCTGAAAAGTGAAACTACTCTTGTCATGCAGAGTGAAACACAAACAGCATAAATAACTCAAAGCAAATCACATTAAAATCAGGAATATATTCACATAGATACACGCTTAACTAACACATTATCTTTGTAAAATGCCTCAATGGTTTTCCAAAAAATAGGACTATTACTCCACATAATAAAACTAACATTCTTATAGATGGGGCCACCACTCGTACTACAGCTTCTTATTCTCAAGTAAAATTGATAAGAAAGCTAAAGTTTAATCAAAAGTGAATGCAATAATCCATGTCATGTTATTACCCCTCCAAAAAAAAAAGAAATCCATAAGTTGTTAGGAGCCAAATCAGATGAAAGATCTTCAAGAAACAATCAGAAGCACAGAACAGGTTAATGTCACAATGACTGAATATCTCAGGTCCATGAATAATTCCATGCCTTGAAGTTGTTATAAGAACTGCAAATAAAGTAAATCATCTCCTTAACTTGAACTTGTTGTGCAACACTGGTAACTATTTAGGAATCCTTCAACAGTTCTAAGGCATGTACTTTTTAAACTTTCTAGTCCACTGCTGTGCCACTGGAAGGAAAACGAAACACTACTTTTCTATTACAATGTTTGCATTTCTTTAACATACATGGTAAACAAAAACAGCAAACGTTTAACAGGATGAGAAACTAAGTCCAAAGTCAGGACTTCACTTAAAGTGGGTTCATTTTCCCAGGAGAAAGATATATATATTTTTTTATAACCACAAAGATGAAACTGCTCTCACAGCACAGGCCCTAAACGACTGGGGCCAGGGTCAAGTGGCAAGGGACAGCTCAAAGGTACCACAACAAGGAGAAAAGGAAGGTGGAATAAGGTTACTTACTAAGTTCAACTGGGGGTGGGCGCGGGGTGTGTGGAGAGGAAATGTTGCTTAGCTCCTGGCTACGCAAGAAGGTGTGGAGGAGTCCTCACTCAAGACACTCTCCTGTTTTCCACACACACAAACACACCGTGGGGAGGAGGAGTTTAGCAAGAGGGAAGACCTGTTGGCACATAACGTGTAAGAGGCGAGATGAAAGGTCACCTTGCCCGGAGGCGGCAGGCAGAGGCTTGAGGGAGAAACGGAGGGGCGAGGGGCAAACGGCCGGCGCCACGCGGGGACAGCGCGTGAAGGGGCGCCGCCAAGGCCCGCCGGCGGGGGCTAAGGAAGAAAGTAGGCCCCGGAGAGGAG